CTAGATTTCCTAATGATAAAGGTTACCTACAGGACAAGTTCCACGGATCAGATTAAAAGATGCTATAATGCCACGTGGCACGTGTTTAAGCCTCTTCGCACTCAGCATAAACAAACAGTTTTACCAATCGATGATAAGCGCCGTGTGCTGCTTCTGAAAAATTCTGTTCCCTTATTTCCGTTTGAAATAGTTTCATTCTTCTAGATGTACTGTTCTGGATGCTCGGTCAATAAGGATTACGTGGTCAGAACATTCATTTCGTTCCGACTACAACTGCGAGTTGGCGCGTTCCAACTGAGTAACGCGGTGTTTGCGTCAGATGCATTGCAGGGGCTTAAATACCATGGAACTTTACCTGCTTAAACGGCCTCCCGCCATGCGATTAAAAGCAAATCCGCACCATCACTTCCAAACATCTGCACAACCGCTGAGCTCTACCAGCATGCTGTTGTTTTCGCTACTGCTAGAAAACTGTCCTGATAAAATAAACTCTGTGAATATATTAATCCACCTTTTGTACAGTTCGTTTAATCAAATTAGTAACCAGCTGGAGAGATCTTCTAACAATGTCTTCTTCCATGACAATTTCTATTTCTCAAATATTAACAAATACTGTTTATCTGGGCCACTGCTTTGCAAAAGTATGAAAGGAGCATGGATTCCTGAAACACTGCTGATAATTAGCGAGTAAAATGATACGAGATGTATTTATCCAGTGTTATGAACTAAAACATAATGCAGCTATGACAACTGCTTTTATGAGTCACCTTCCCTCGGATAAGCAGGAATAATGAGGTAGTGCGACATACAGCGAAATTCGGTTTTGGACGAGTTACGTTATTTAGTTTGAAATTCATGTCTATTCAAGACCAATACCAACCAAAAACATAAAACATAAAGGGGGCACCTGCTACTGAGCTCGAATTTAAAAAAGACGAAATTTCAGTTCATAACAAACAATCCTACATTTTCTCGAAATTGAGGTTACAGAAAAACAGTTTTCAAGATTTCTAAGGAACATCGATCATATCCTAACGAATCAATTTTCATTAAATACCTAGCAAACATTCACCAACAAGATTTTCACAGCACCAAAGCAGTACCCCGTTTTTCGCATATTCCTAGGGAGCCACGTATATAAGTCACAGCTTCACTATTTGAAAATGTGACCACCTATAATACCAGATACATCTCGAATCTTCTTATTGGTTAGGCAATATACCAACGACGTATCTGAAATGGTACTTCTTGCTGGATTTCATTAAAACAAAAAACGTGCGTTGCTACGCCGAAATATTAATTAATAAACGCTTATCCTTACCAAGCTTACTTAAAACATAAGAAAAACTTGGTATGCTAAATGACCCCTGAGCATCCTCAGAAAATAGCAGTGCCGCACTGCTACAAAATAACGTAAGAGGGCTTGGGGCTTTCTAATTTTTGACATAGGGATCCCATTCTTCATGTTGCTGGTAAAACATATACAGCGTGCAAAATCACCTAAGATGAAGATCAACACACTGTTCTAGTAAAAAAGAAAATATGAGATGCATAAACAAATTTTAGATTTTGAAATAGCATGAAGTTGCGGTCGGTTAAAAGAGTCAGCATGCGTTCATGAGTAAAAGGACTGCGCCATAACACCAGTAAAACTAGTTTAAATGAACTATTCGCTCATTTACATCAAGTCTGTGTAAAAGCTTTGAAGAACCCACACTGGCATCAAGACTCACTGTGTATTCCTCCTGCGACTCAATGATGCCCTTCACGCGTAATAGCTGATACTGTTTCATTCTTAGACTCTTCAATGACTTCCGGAAAATACGCAGATCCGTCGAGTCGCACTGTAAAGCTTTCTCAACAGTTTCAGGCATATACAAGGGATCAAAAACGAGCAAATTATATTTTTCATCATTTCCTTTCAATTTTTCAATGCCAACGATCGTTCGACTATGTCCTGAAAAGAAATATTAATATATAAAAAACAAAAAAACAAAACTATATCTACAGGCTTTTGCGTCAATATCGCTTAAGGATTTTAACACCTGACTCAAATAAAGCACGCTGTAAAACGCGTCACTAAATTCTCATACCGTATCAGCAAATTGCGCATCACGGCACAAAAACAAGAGATGGTCTGATCCCATATTTTACCAATTCTGAGGAATCATGGCCATCACTGGCTTTTACCATTCTATCATAGTATTGCAGACAGCGCAATTTCTACTCATTTTAACCGTATCTTATGTCAAA